ACTTACCTGAGGCTGCCACGATGTCCCACATCGCTGCTTCTCTCTCTGCGCCGCTCCTCCTTCTGACTGAGTCGGTCGGTGAGGCTGATCCTGCCCACCGGCTGGGGAGACCTAATGCGCATGCGCATTAGCGCTCCCCATAGGAAAGCATTGAAAATGCATTTCAATGCTTTCCTATGGGGAAATGAGCGGCGCTGGAGGTCCTCACACAGCGTGAGGATGTCCAGCGACGCTCTAGCACAGGTTTCCTGTGCTATGAAGGAGGAAATGCCCTCAAGTGGCTGTCTAGTAGACAGTCACTAGAGGTGGAGTTAACCCTGCAAGGTAAATATTGCAGTTTATAAAAAAAAAAAAAAACTACAATAATTACACTTGCAGGGTTAAGAGTGGTGGGAGTTGGCACCCAGACCACTGCAATGGGCAGAAGTGGTCTGGGTGCCTGGAGTGTCCCTTTAAGCAGTGAGACTGTGGCTGCATGATCTATACACCAATACGGATTCATTAAACTAAAGTTGTTTTGGTGCTTAGAGTATTTCTATAAGTATTTATTGTCCATCTGGGGGTTTTAACGATATCCCTTAAAGTACAATAAATGATTGCATTAATCACTAACTTCCTTATTATATTGACCCAGCCTGATCTCATCTAATTACAGGTACACTTATTATTGTGATTTATGTCCTGTTTTAATGTTTTGTATAAGCTTGTCAAGTTATTTAATAGTTTAAGAAAAAAAATTTATATAGCGATATATTTGATATATTTATATATTTCAAATTTTTAGCAAAAATCATTTAAAAAGTGTATTTAAAAATATTAAATTGTGGTGTTTCGAGAGAGAGGAGAACTGTGTTGTGCTATATTAGTCCTCATTTATCCAGATTTATAAATTTAGGTTTATTTGCTAAAAGCGGAATTATGCAAAACTAAATACAAAGTCACACGTTTAGCGGAAACTGAAAAGATTTACAAACTTATAGACCCATCCATCTTACTCTGAAATTTGTAGTTTCATTTTTGGTTTCAAAGCCGAAATCTATAGTAGTGAGTTTGCAATGTACTCACAGTTTGCATTATCGAAGACGAACACCATCGAAATAATGATAAACAAGAAGATAAATCTGTTACCTGCAACAAAATAATATATATTTATAATTCCAAATGATATTTTGATGGATATTTCCAAAAAAAAACAAAAAAAAACAACACAGTACATAATGCAAATGACAATATTTTGAATTACAGCAGGATTAGAAACTTATAACATTTCTAGAACCCACAGTTTTTGAAGTAAACAATGAGGTTTTTCTTTTGTTAATAAATCAAGGATATTCCTTGAAACAAGCTTTTCTCTAAAATAACAATTTGACAAATATTGACACGCGCACAGATATTACCCTGCTATTAGATAAACATTGACACGCACAAGGATATTACCCTGCTATTAGATAAAACATTGACACGCGCACAGATATTACCCCGCTATAACATTGACACGCACACAAACATTACCCCACTATTAGATAAACATTAACACGCATAAGGATATTACCCCCCATTAGATAAACATTAACACGCACAAAGATATTACCCTGCTATTAGATAAACATTAACACGCACAAAGATATTACTCTGCTATTAGATAAACATTGACACTCACACAAACATTACCCCACTATTAGATAAAAACATTGACACGCGCACAGATATTACCCCACTATTAGATAAACATTAACACGCATAAGGATATTACCCCCCATTAGATAAACATTAACACGCACAAAGATATTACTCTGCTATTAGATAAACATTGACACTCACACAAACATTACCCCACTATTAGATAAAAACATTGACACGCGCACAGATATTACCCCACTATTAGATAAACATTAACACGCACACAAACATTACCCCGCCATTAGATGATAATTAAGATGCTGAATGAAAACAAATTGTGGAAGTGAACAGAAACTGGAAGTAAATCTTAACAAGGGGAAAATGTAAGTTTTTAAACAAAATAATTTTACGTTAAAGGGCAAAACCTAGAAAACTAACAGATAAGGAAAGATCTAGCTAAATTGTTTTCACTTTCTTTGTCAATTCCCCAAAATTCACATTGGCTAAATAAACCTCACACATTGATTTTCCACAGTTACGTCTGTCCCTACTCTCAGAAGCTAAACGGAAAACCAGCAAACCCTGTCGGAGCCTTGTGCGAGATTTTTTAGGATCTATATTCTTGCATCGTATTAGTATATTCTATGCCAAATTTTATGAGATAGGCCTAAATCTAGAACTCGGTCTCAAATATTAGCCGTAGTTTTGTCTTGATAAATCTAGACTCTCTTGTTGAAGGTTTCCGGATGCTCTGCTGGTATTAGAAATATTCTGTTCAGAAAATGTGTCTTTTAAAAGGTCAGTAATATCTTGGTATAAACTCAGAGTTATTATGGGATATCACTTACCAAACTTTACTGCTGACAGAGCCCTCAGGCGCTCAGTAATCTTGGTGTGCGACGTTTCATGGACCTGAGATACGAAGCTATCATCAGTCAGAGATTGCTTCTTTCTTCTCCTTCTGCGTCGCTTTGAACGAGTGCTCGATGGGCTTTTTGGGGGGAAAGTAGAGATACCCACATTTCCAGAATGTTCAGCACTTGTCGTGTCTTCCTTCTTAATGCCCTCAGGTCGTGTCTTCAAATTCTGGGCGTCTTCCACCCCGGTCTCCTTCCCTTCAGCTCTTACAGCCTTTGGACCATCATGCTCTCTGATTATTGGAGTTTTATTTTCACTCACTTTAGCGTCTTGTGATGTTTCTTCCACGCTGACAGCCGTGCTCCTCGGGCTGCTACACAAACAGAGCAGAATTTTTCCACCATTAGATTGATCCAGTGACAGTACACAACGTATCATTTCAATGTCTTCTATAATGATATTTACCTGGATTCCTGCACGGGACATTTCAGTGTTTTACTGTCCACGATATTCCTTCTATTAAATAAAAGATAATGAGATTAAAGTCGCACACCAGGCACTAGATCATACACGTTATTAAAACCTGTGTTCTAGTCTAGCAGAGCATAATGATTGCACAGACCAGGCAATGTTTATCACAATACATTTACTGCTTTCAGGTCCAGACAGTGTTTTATGCAGTAACACCCACTGGAGAGCCAGGCTGGAAGGTGAAACCCTGCTCTTTTTAGAACACAGCAATGTATTCATTGTGTCTCCCAGCGATGGCCTACTCTACATCATGACCCGAGTACCATTGAACCCTCGCCTAAAAGGGTTAATATTATCGCCATTTATATAGCGCCAACAGATTCCGTAGCGCTTTACAATATTATGAGAGGGGGGATTTAACTATAAATAGTACAATTACAGGAACTATAGATTGAAGAGGACCCTGCTCAAACGAGCTTACAGTCTCCATAGGTTAATATATCAATATATCATGCTCTCTGCTCAAATCACATTAAGATGACATTATTTACACCCACTTTGCTGGAAGTTTAAACTTGTGAAATGTTTTGTGGTTACTTTTCCTATTGTCTGGAAAACAAAACCTTTTTAGATATGAACTCTAACTTATTTTAGTGCCTGTCTTTTTAAGGTGAAGAAGTTAATTTTTACATTCGGTGGATTGCGTAAGGTGCGAGCTTATATAAACTGTATGCTTATACGTAAAAAATGTAAGTAGTAATTCAGCTTTGCTTGATGTCTGTCTGAGTTAATGCTTCCCGAGCGCTCGAGGGTGTGGCAATCAAATCTGAATTTACAATTTAGCTGCTGAAATAGAAGCTTCACAATGGCCTTGGCTGTTATTCTGAATATTCTAATTTCTTATGTATTTACCTGCCCTGTCTTCACTCCTGTCCTGTGTAAACCTGTGTCGGATTGAATGCAAGCTCCTGGGTTCCTCTAACTATCCTCTTCCCTGGTACTTTACGTGTTCCTTGGGAGAATCACCTTGAAGAACTATTAGCTTAAAGCCCAGGGGCACACTGTCCACACAGTGAATAACTCCAGTTTATAAACCATGACCTCAGAACAGGTCAAACACCGAGAACATTAAAGGGACTCTCCTGGAAATAGATTAGGCTCAATGTTCCAGCTTTGTGGGATATCTAGGTCCACACTACCTTCTTTATACGGCCAGGAGGTTTTGAGTAGTCAAATATCCTCTCAAAGGTAGGTGTAGGTGTAAAGTGCTTTATTGAACGTTCACAAATGATTATAAATAAAAGTGTAAAAAAAACAGTAGTGAAGGCATGTTTAGCCACCTTATACTGTATGGCATTTTAGTTTGTTGTGAGGGTAAAGGGAAACTCCCTAAGGTGTTTTGAGCACCTTTGATTTTCTGTGTGTTTCACTGGAATAGTGTTACTATTTATTGTTTAAAACTCAGACTGTTTATATGATGTTCTGAAATGAAATGTTCAGGAGAGGTCATAAGGTAAAAAAATAAATAAAAAATACATTTAAAAGAAGAAAAACCACCACAACAAGAATACATAATGTTAAATTAAAGAGGTAAAGGTTTAAAAATAATATCAGGAAGTATTACTTTACTGAGAGGGTAGTGGATGCATGGAATAGCCTTCCAGCTGAAGTGGTAGAGGTTAACACAGTAAAGGAGTTTAAGCATGCGTGGGATAGGCATAAGGCTATCCTAACTATAAGATAAGGCTAGGGACTAATGAAAGTATTTAGAAAATTGGGCAGACTAGATGGGCCGAATGGTTCTTATCTGCCGTCACATTCTATGTTTCTATGTTTCTATGTTATGACATTTAAATATCACCATAATTCCCAGAAATTGTCCAATGCCGGTATAATGGGGGACGAGTTGTGTAAGCAGTGTGTTAATACTTACAGCATAGACAGCAGAGAGCCATGGGGCTTTATATCTATCAGATGGCACAGTGCCAGGAAAACGGCCACCTGGATCCAGTTTTGCAGTATTTGTATCCATAGCCAGTATAAGATGGAATCCATGGCAGACTGGGCAATGACATGGAGCTGGATCATTGTGACCTGTAAAGAGAAACTCGGATCAGAATGTGAGTAATTATCAGGCACCACCACATGCTGGATACAGTATCATACACTGACTGAAGGACACAGGACCAGAGCAGCATATAACACGTCGCAGATTAACCAGGTATCTTCTCTGGTGTAAGGAAAGCTAGACTGCAGGGTCTGAGGGTCTCATTCTATGGTCCTTGGTGCACCGTGGGCATACAGTCTGAATTAAGAGAGTCTGATCATATAGCCTACTCTCATTGCTGGAGGTTTTTTAAGGAAGAAATATTTTGTTTTTCAGATATTCATATCATTCAATATGTTGACTCGAATAATTGCTTTTATTGTAAAATGTTGGGGGGGAGGTTTGGGGGGGGGGAGGGGGGCAGCTCCAGCATAGTGTCTAGGAGATGAATCCAATATTACCTGTCTTACAAGATGTTTGGGTGAATCCTCACTCACTCACTCTCTACATCCCTCAGTTTGTTAATGGTTTATGGGATGGGCTGCCCTGTGCATGATCGTTCGTAATTTAGGCCAAATATAAATGTGCCCAGTGAGTCAGGTTAACTCTACATGTAGAATGCACAATGCTCTGGGAAATAATGGACTTGTTTTGGAAAATGAGCGAGGTTTCAAAATAGGCAGATTACAGCGGACGATTTAAATCATGTTTAGCCACAGATTTAGTAAGATTATTTTAGCTGTGGTTGTCACTTTGTTACAACAGACAAATAGAAACGCTTAAGGCTAGAGATAATGTTTAATGTAACCAATGATTTTCAAATGAGCCGATTACAGATTAACAGCTCAATACAGACAGAAGCCAAAAAATACAATGTTGCATGTACGTTCTTATCAGATCAGATTGCAGGGTTTAATTCTAGACACGTGCACAAAAGATTAGTTCAAATACCAGAGTCTACACTTTTAGATCTAAAAATGGAAACACGCCAGGCATGGAGTATACGAGAATATTTAATGGTGAGCTGCATGTAATGAAGGCTTGGATCACCAGTCTCCTGCGTGGATTTCACGCCTACCCCACTACATTGTCCCATGCATTGTCCTCATGGGTCTCCTGCGTGGATTTCACGCCTACCCTACTACATCATCCATCCAATGTCCTCACAGCTTAGAATCCAAACCTGTCCCACTACATCGTCCATCCATTGTCCTCACAGGTCTCCAGCTTAGAATCCAAACCTGTCCCACTACATCATCCATCCATTGTCCTCACGGGTTTCCTGCTTAGAAACCAAACCTGTCCCACTACATTGTCTGTCCATTGTCCTCACTGGTCTACAGCTTAGAATCCAAACCTGTCCCACTACATCGTCCATACGGGTTTCCTGCTTAGAATCCAAACCTGTCCCACTACATTGTCTGTCCATTGTCCTCACTGGTCTACAGCTTAGAATCCAAACCTGTCCCACTACATCGTCCATCCATTGTCCTCACGGGTTTCCTGCTTAGAAACCAAACCTGTCCCACTACATTGTCTGTCCATTGTCCTCACTGGTCTCCAGCTTAGAATCCAAACCTGTCCCACTACATCGTCCATCCATTGGCCTCATGGGTCTCCAGCTTAGAATCCAAACCTATGCCACTACATCGTCCATCCATTGTCCTCACGGGTTTCCTGCTTAGAATCCATACCTGTCCCACTACATCATCCATCCATTGTCCTCACTGGTCTCCAGCTTAGAATCCAAACCTGTCCCATTACATCGTCCATACGGGTTTCCTGCTTAGAATCCAAACCTGTCCCACTACATTGTCTGTCCATTGTCCTCACTGGTCTACAGCTTAGAATCCAAACCTGTCCCACTACATCGTCCATCCATTGTCCTCACGGGTTTCCTGCTTAGAAACCAAACCTGTCCCACTACATTGTCTGTCCATTGTCCTCACTGGTCTCCAGCTTAGAATCCAAACCTGTCCCACTACATCGTCCATCCATTGGCCTCATGGGTCTCCAGCTTAGAATCCATACCTGTCCCACTACATCATCTATCCATTGTCCTCACTGGTCTCCAGCTTAGAATCCAAACCTGTCCCATTACATCGTCCATACGGGTTTCCTGCTTAGAATCCAAACCTGTCCCACTACATTGTCTGTCCATTGTACTCACTGGTCTCCAGCTTAGAATCCAAACCTGTCCCACTACATTGTCTGTCCTCTGCCCTTTACCACTTGGACCACCTCAGCAATTCTGTCACTGGATACCAAGAGCAAGTTTTTAAATGAACAATCCCACCCCACACCATGAAATCAAATCAGCAAGAGCTGCAATACATCTGGTCTACATGTACGATCAGCATGGACTCATTCTGCATTTTTACACTTAACCCAGTGACTCTTACTTAAACTGTCGTATAAACTAAAACTAAATTAATTCTGGAAAACGTCTGGATTAGATCCTTCCATTTCCCTTAGGATGGAAGCCCTGCTAAATATATCATTCATAGGTATATAGCTGAAAAGAGACTTGTGTCCATCAAGTTCAGCCTTCCTCACATATGTTGTTGCTGTTGATCCAAAAGAAGGCAAAAAAACCCAGTCTAAAGTGCTTCCAATTTTGCAACAAACTAGGAAAAAATCTTGACCCCAGAATGGCAGTCAGATGTCTCCTTGGATCAAGCAGCTATTACCCCACTAATTAGAAATTATATCCCTGTATGTTATTGTAACGGATCACCTGGCACCCCGACTGGGTACCTCCGTTGAAGGATGCTCCTAGCACTTCCTGAGGACTCCAAGCACTCTGGCAGACACCACAATCACTGAACCGGAGAAACAAATAAATTCTCCCAAGCAT